ATTGTGTTTGTGTGTGTGTGTGTGTGTGTGTGTATATATACCTGTATATATTATACACAAATTCAATTTGTATGCTACAAAGTTGTATGTATGCAAATTTTATAGATTACTAAATGTGTATATGTTACAAAATAACATTTGCAAATATTAAATACATATATATTCTTAAATATGTGTATATATATGTGTATGCAACATATATGTGTATAACTGTGTGTGTATATATACACACAATGATTTAAAATCAGGGCCAGCAGGTGGCCTCGTGGTTAAGGCGCTGGACTCCCATGTGAGTGACCACAGTTCAAGTCCCAGACCTTGTGGCTTGGAAATTGCACTAGGCATGTGTGCATGCATGCCCCAGATCCCAAGAGAATGGAGAAAGGATTGCAGTGTGGCCATCCCCTTGGGGGGAAGCTTGATTTTTCACTTTCCCTCTCACTTTCTCTCTGCCTCTCTCCTATGAGTACATGTGCACTGTGGCAAAAACATGAAGAAAAAAAAAAAGAAAAAGAAAAAGCTTCAAAAATCTACAAAATAAATTACAAAATTATAAAAACAGATAGCTCAGATAGCTGTGGGGTCAATACTCTGCCACAGTGTGGGGACCTGTCCTCTTTGTTCAGTCTGGATCCTGTGCTATAATCAAGCTCAACCCTTCTTGTTCTAGCTTCTGAGTCATGATCCACCACTGCAGAGGCAAGAGTCTATGAGCCATATGAACTTCATATGGATACCCTCTCTCCAAGAAAATGAGAAATCTTCCCCTTCCCACCCTAAAGGTGGAAATGCCCCCCAAATAAAGTTCATTTAATAAACAGTACGTTGCTACTTACATTGACCAACTTGCCTCATCTTCATTTGTAACTTCAATCCTCCTGTTTTTTAAGTGATGTCCTTGAAGAAAGTACAGACTTCCTTTCTGACCCCTGATTTTGGGAGAGGCACTGTGTAGCTGTTGTAGGAAGCACCAGAGTTTGCATTTAGAGTGGCCCTGATTTCACTATTTTTGTTTCAAGGTATAGGTAAAAAATTTTGACATACCTTTCCTTATTAACCAAAATTATTAAGACCATTTTCTACAGAAAATTTTACTTTAAATCAAAGTACTTTCTAGAGATTACTTTACCTAATTTTTTTTTTTTAGCATTTCAAGAGTGTACGGAGATTTCCTAAGAACAAATGACCATCTTTTCGATGCTGGCGTCGACAGGTGCTCAGTACAGTGAAAGGTCCTAAGAAAGGACTAGGGATCACATCATTTATCTGTCCTGAAAGATTTCTTGTTCTCATCGTCTTACACGGTAACTGCCTTTGGTTTTTCCTCATCCACTTCAACCAAGGGCTGAATTTCTTATTCCCGGCATTTCTTCCTCCTCCTACCCCCAAGTAGGCACTTAGTTGACTGATTATAGAATCACAAGGTTGGCTATAATTCCATTTCTTCATCTGACTTTGAACGTAAGTGTTCCAATTACTTTGCCTGATCCTAATAAGTCAGTAGCGTGCTAATGCTTGCCTTGATATTTCTGAAATATACAGGGTTGTGATTAGCATGGGACTGCATCATTAGAAAGCAAAGTTGAAAGCGAGTGAGCAAAATCATCACTCGTGTTTAAGTAAAACTGTCTGTTCAGTGGACTCATATGTTACTATGATCTGGGGGACACCATATGCTGTGACTAAACCTATACCGTATTTGGAAAATCCTCTGATGTCCTGGAAACTTTTGGCTTTGACCATTATTGAACAGAAAAGATCCTAGAAGGATAGGCCCACTCTAATATACGGTCTCGAAGTCTCTCCTCGGCAGATACAGCTGAAGTCACACACGATACACACAAAATAAAATCTCTGAACCATAATAAGGCCGGGGAAATTAACAACAACAAAAAAAAAAAAAGGAAGGAAGGAAAGAAAAAAGGAAGTAAGGAAGGAAAAACTTTGGTTAATTTTAATTTTGCTGGATTGAATTGATATCTTTGGTCCACAAAGTAAGAAAGCCTGCTGGAAGAAAAAAAAAATAACCCATGCACACACACACATCAAGGAAGATGCTAAAAAACTACATTAGCTTCAGTAGTGTTAGTGAGTCTATTAGAAAATTAATCCCTTTATATCTATACATAGCTGGATAGAGTGTAAACTTTTGGAAACTAGCAGGAAATCAGAAAGGAAACACCTAAAACTGGGAATGATTTGCAGCCAAATTAATTGATAAATGAAAGGAAAAAAGGATGGCACAACTGAAATCGATGCCAAAGATTTATGAGGTTGACTAAGTAAACAAAAATGGAATGGATCACCATGGAAATGCATGAATATTGAAATAGGCAAGATTTGAATAGACTAATGATATGCTTCACTTAGACTGACAGGTGTTGATAACAACTGTGACACTCAATCCACACCAACATCCACACTTCTAACATGTTTATTCCTAGAAAACAGGGGCTGAATATAAAGGTTCCTTTGGTAATCGCTTATAAGGAAAAATGCGTTTCTCGATCTTAAAGGAACTGACTCGATTCTCATCTACTTGAAAAACAAAAAGGTTTTATCCATTTGCTTCTAGATATGAGGAGCTGCAGTTAGCAGAAGTCATTCTCTTGGGCTCTGCTAGTCTTTGTTCCAATAAACCTCTCACTAAACTGAATTCTCAGTCTAGCTTATCTCCCACACTGAGTACTTGAAGTATGACCAGCACTCATTAGAAACATAATTAAAAAGACACAACACTAGATTCCCACTCCCCATCACATACAGATGAAAACCAATAACCCTTAATCTATTTGTTACCATGGCTACCATAGGATATTTTATTTCAGCAAAACTCTAGGTATTCCGTTTGGATTGTTGCTTGCAAAATGAAAGTTGGAGACCTGTGCTAGAAATGGAGAGACTGAACAGAAGAAAATGTTTTTCTTAATCACGGATAAATATAGTTTAGAAGATGCTTGTGCAGAAAAGTTATTAAAATTGGTTAAATGCATCAGCCCATAAACCAATTTAAATGCCATTAAATTTGTGTAGAGTTTAAGGACACATATGCTAGTAATTCCCTGACTTATAGCAAGGCGATAAATCAAGTGCACTCCAGAATAATACGCAGGACTGAGACTGCATCGATGGGAGCACACAGCTCCATACCTAATCAAATACACGCATGCCCACCAGCCTTTAACGTGTTCACCTGTGCTCACTGGGCACGTTTTCTTTAAGCGTTAGGATGGACAATCAATAGCACTGTTCATCACTCTTTTCCTACCAAAAAGAATTAAAAAGTTAGCTCTATACTCCCCCCATAACTAAAAAAAAAAAAAAAATCGAGAGATGAGGACTAATTAAATCTGCCAATCACCCCAAACTGAAATAATTCCTTAAATCTGCCATCCCATGGCTGAGTTAGCAATAAGACCACAGGCACGGGAAATAACTATGTAGTGACTAGACAGATGAGTTTAAAGAGACGAAAACTAGGGTAAATACAGCTGTAACCAGGACAGCTCTGTCACTGCAAGGAGTCCGAATCCCAACGTTCCTCGGCTGATGAGGCTGGAACCTGCATGTCCCTGAGCAGAGGAAGTGGAAGTTTCGCGGGCAGGAGAAGCTCAGCGTCCTCAACCGTCTGGTCCCTCCAGCGCCGAGGTCTCTTCTAATGTCACATAAAATACCTGCGTCCACGATTCGCCCGGGGCGCGTCGCGGCGCAAGCACGGTCGGGAGGGAGGAGAACGTTTGCAGCGCAGCAGGGATGGCAGC